ACTTTGGGGGGTTGAATAGTTGTGCACACTCAAGTTCTGTTTTTTTTGTCTTATTTGTTGTTTGTGTCACAAGAAAAAATATTTGGCATCTTCAAAGTGGTAGGCATGTTGTGTAAATCAAATGATACAAATCCCACAAAAATCAATTTTAATTAACTAATTATGACAAATGTTAAGAAAATGTTGAGCAATGTAATAAAGTAATGACTTTTAAATAAGTTACCTTACACGTTATGTTGGCTGACAATTTGTTAGCTACGCTATCCTTAAGAACCGCATTGCATATCATTACAGCAGTATGTACTGTATGTTAGCTAGCTACCTAAAGTTGGTTACTAATACATCGGACTTGCCAGTATATTATAAACTAACTAACTAACCAATTGTGTGTTTGTAAATTCAGTCTGGAGTGCCAGAGTGTGCTCTGGTCGTTTGTAAATTAAGAGCTTTGTCAGACTGTCCATTCGTAAATTCAGAGCGTTTCGCTCTCTGAACGTTCAGAGCGCACACTGGACGCTCTGGCTGAGGAGAAGGGTTGATCTCAGTGTTCTGATCTCACAATGGCAGTCAAGCACCCAAGCTAACTTGCTAACGTTGGCTAGCTTGCTAGCTACTTGCAGACACAAATAAGAGAACACCTCACTCTGACCATTTTACTCACCCTAGCAGAGCAGGTTAGGCTGTTTTCATGTTATCCGTAGCGTTGGTGACTAACTGGGCTGCTGGCAACAATTTAATTATGCTTTTTTGCTGATATTTACTGACACTGGCCATATTCAACGGGTGTTGAGCATTTGTAAATTCGTCAGTTATTCTGCGCTCTTGCACACTCAGAAGAGAGTGCTCTGAAATTGGAATAGACAGCCAGAGTGAATTTACGAACGCAACCTATTGACTTAATTAGTCACGTCATTCTTGGCTTAGCTAAGTGGTATAGTCGTTGTGCGTTCTTAATGGACATTGTTAATGACGTCGTAAGATGTCTAGCTAGTAATTTGTTATGCTAACAAGCTAGCAAGAAGTTGCATAGCAACAGCATCAACTTCCAGTGGACAGGCGAAGCGCTAGTATGCTCAACTGAAAGGATACCGTTCGTTTACAGTATACTAAATTAACTAATAGTATACAGTATGTTAGTATGGGTATTCGAACTCAGCTATAGCCCAATGTTTGTATCACAACTGAAGTTGCATAAATAACTAAATTAAGCATATAGGAGGACCAGTTTCTTTGTTAACCCCTCAACACAGAATAGCCACATGTGCGCACTTCCTTTGAAATTGTTTGAAGAAAAGATCGTTAAAATTTTATTGAGCTATGTTCAATTGTATTCTTCATACTATAAATATATAAATATATATATATGCCACGGAATTCTAAGCAAATCTTGTCTGCTAAATGAACTAGTGTAGCCCCCAGCCATATGGCATAGCCATATCAGGGCCTAACATAAGGACAACTCAGAGTATGCTATTCTGTTGAACTGAAATAGACTACATTTTCTTCATATCATGTTTCTTTAGACCTGTCTAAAATAAAGAATTGATTTATTGTGATGGTGTAGGCTATATTAAAAATTGATTTATTAGTCTTTTTCAAATGTAGATGTTCCAAAGGGTCTGCATTAGTGGCTTGTAGGCTATGCGTGGAAGCCAGGAGATTCTAAACGTATTTATGCCAATTAACGGTCAATTACCATGAGACCGTCAATTATTTGCTTGACAATCATCAGCTGACAAGATTGAATGATCGCCATAGCACTATGCACGGCCACATGTCGCAAGGATCTGTACACAATTCCTGGCCTGCGTACTCGCCAGACATGTCACTCGTTGAGCATGTCTGGGATGCTTTAAGGTATCTGTAACCAACAGATGCATAACTGTATTCCCAGTCATGTGAAATCTATAGATTTGGGCGAAATCCATAGATTAGGGCCGAATGAATTTATTTCAATTGACTGATTTCCTTATATGAACTGTAACACAGTAAAATCTTTGAAATTGTTGCATGTTGTGTTTTGATTTGTGTTCAGTATTTTCATTATATTTGTACGCTACTGTCTGTAATGTTTGCCACAATATACACTCAGTGGTCAGTTATTAGGTACACCACCCCGTTCATGAAAATGGTTAGCTCCTGCAGACAGTGAGTTCCGTGACCATGGCTTGCTATATAAATTAGGCATAGAGGCATTTAGTTATTGTTCAATTGAACATTAGAATGGGCAAAACGAGTGACCTAAGCGATGTTGAGCGTGGTATGATCTTCGGTGCCAGGTGCGCCAGTTCCAGTATCTCAGAAACAGCCGGCCTCCTGGCCTTTTCACGCATGACAGTGTCTAGGGTTTACAGAGAATGTTGCGACAAACAAAAGACATCCGGTCAGTGGCAGTCCTGTCGGCGAAAACAGCTCGTTGATGAGAGAGGTCGAAGGAGAATGACAAGAATCACGCAAGCTAACTGGCGGGCCAAAAACTGACAAATAACGGTGCAGAGCGGCATCTCGGAACGCATAAGTCATCGGTCCTTGTCACCGATGGGTTATTGCAGCAGACGACCACACCGGTTTCCACTCGTACCAGCTAAAAACAAGAAGAAGCTGCTCAAGTGGGCTCGTGAACACCAACACTTGACAACTGAGGAGTGGAAAACATTGTCTGGTCCGAGAAATCCCGGTTCTTGTTGTGTCATCATGATGGCAGTCAGGATTTAGCTTCGGCAGCATGAGTCCATGGCCTCATTCTGCCTGGTGTCAACGGTACAGGTTGGTAGCGGTGGTGTAAAGATGTGGGGAATGTTTTCCTGGCACACGTTAGGTCCCTTAATACCATTTGAGCAACGTTTGAATGCCTCACCTTGTAGAATCCATGCCCCGAAGAATTCAGGCTGTTCTGAATCCAGGTACTAGGTGGGTGTACCTAATAAACTTGTCACTGAACGCATTTCATGATGGCTAACTTGCGCAATGATTTAGTGAATTATTATAGGGTAAGCATTAGAATAAGACACCTCAATATTTGTAGCCATAGGTGAAAAGACTCAGTAGTCAACTGATAAAAGCTTCAAAGCACGCAAACTTCCTGTCAGAGTTTCAGTGCCTGTGCCAGGAATGGTAAACCATGGTTGAGAGCAATAAAAGTTTGGAAGACCCAGCTTTGGCCTTGATCAAAGCTTTTGATAAAATCAAAGACTTCAAAACTAACATCAGCAATGCATGTTTTGGCTGACATGGCAGTGTGAACTTAGCTAAGAGATCCAGTGCCATCTGGAGAGCCTCCAGGCACGCAGGACCCCAAATCTCAGCGCAATCAACATCAGTCGCATGCAGGAAGGTCAGGCACCTGGCTGCAGGACGACCCACAAGAATAACATCAGGACCATGAATACAATCAGCCACAGAAGAAAGTCTGGACTAAAGCCCCTGACAACCTGGCACATTATGTGGCAGTGCTTAAAGCCACCCACAATTAAGTTAATGGAGCATCATTGGTTTACTCTAATAGTTGTTTGTGTTGTTGAACTTGTTTTTCCAAGGTGAAAGATGAAACCCGACCCCACAGTAAAGACCCACTCCAACTGTCCAATGCTGCACTTCTACTAGAAGCTCACAGAGTGGTTTATTTAGCGTCAGAATTGAGATAGCCAGGGATTCCAGACCCTGGTGGAATTAAAGTTTTGGTGTAGATATTTCACTGAACAGCCTCTTTTAAGTATTATTAATGTAACATGTACAGTTGATTGATCCAAATAATGAATGTACAGTATGTATTTATTGGTTAATGTGAGATTGCACAGTAGATTGATTTTGAATTAACATTCTACATTACCATGGCAAAGCAGCATCGGTTGATTGACCATTCCAAAATACCATGGAAATTATTGCATCACAATACTAGGCAGCCATTGGGAGTGAACCAGTGAGTCATGAGTTTACCAGTCAATGTCCAGGGTTCGAGCTTCCAAGCCATTTTATGTATTCTTATTTCTATGGCAAAACCTCTGCAGGTCTTCTTCTTCTTCTATGGTATTATGGCAGCCACAAAAAAATGTTAGAGGTGAATGCTGCCACCTACTGTACTGGAGTGTGTAGTCAATCACATCTTAAAGACTAAATGAATAAAGAAACAAACATTAAGAAAAACTAAACCCTTCTACCTAATCCTGTACTACTAAGAAAAAAGAAAAGAAAAATAGCCCTACTAACTTCTAACAAACCATCCCCCATACCCAAATCCCTTCCAACCTCCACCCATCCAACCTCAATAACCCTACACATCAATCTTTCCCTCTCTTCCACAAACCGGTACTTACAACAATACATCAACACATGCGATATTCAGAAAATCCATCATGGGTGAAGTTAGGTACGTACTGTGGTAAATGTATTCCTTTTATGCACGTAGCAATATGCTCATTATAGCATGCAGCCGTTGTAT